AGAATCCTAATCGTCAGCAGAAGGTCCCAATAGGCAATAAAATGGCCCAATGGTCATTAGATGGGCCCAATGATCAGCAGAGGGTCCCACAAGACATTGTATGGTCCCAATGGTCAGCAGAGGGTCTCAATGGTCAGTAGAGTGTCCCAGTAGTCAGCAGAGTGTCCCAGCGGTCAGCAGAGTGTCCCAGTGGTCAGCAGAGTGTCCCAGCGGTCAGCAGAGTGTCCCAGTGGTCAGCAGACAGCCCCAGCAGCCATCGTACATTCCCAACAACCACCAAGTTGTCCCAAGGCCCATCGAGCGTTCCCAACATCCACCACCCAACCTCTGACCACCACCCAGAGCCAAAGCCGTTCCCTGGAACCCCTGGAATTCCCGGGGAAGGCCCCACCTGGTGCTTCTGCCGGCGCTTCCTCTCCTGCTCGATCTTCTGCTGCTTCTCCAGCTTCTCGGTGATGCGGGCCTCGCGCAGCGACTGCCGCTTGCTGCGCTTGTAGGCCTTGGCGTTGAGCGCCGTCTCCAGCGCCGTGTCGCGCCGCATGCACACCACCACCTCCTGCCGCAGCTGCAACGCCAAAAAACAGCCCCGGGGTTGGTTTGGGGTGTTCCTGCTCCCCAAAAAACAATCCTGTGGGTGTTCCTGGTCCCAAAAAACAGCCCCGGGGTTGGTTTGGGGTGTTCCTGCTCCCCAAAAAACAGCCCCGTGGTTGGTTTGGGGTGTTCCTGCTCCCCAAAAAACAACCCTGTGGTCGGTTTGGGGTGTTCCTGCTCAACAAAAAACAACCCTGTGGTCAGTTTGGGGTGTTCCTGGTTCCAAAAAACTACTCTTGTGGTTGGCTTCGGGTGTTCCTGCTCCCAAAAATCGACTCCTGTGGTTGGTTTGAGAGCCACCACCACGTTCCTGCTCCCAAAAAATCTACTCCTGTGGTTGGTTTGGGGTGTTCCTCCTCCCAAAAAACAATCCTGTGGTTGGTTTGGGGTGTTCCTGCTCCCAAAAAACTACTCTAGTGGTTGGCTTCAGGTGTTCCTGCTCCCAAAAAACAACCCTGTGGTTGGTTTGGGGTGTTCCTGCTCCCAAAAAACTACTCCTGTGGTTGGTTTGGGGTGTTCCTGCTCCCAAAAAACTACTCCTGTGGTTGGTTTGGGGTGTTCCTGCTCCCAAAAAACTACTCCTGTGGTTGGTTTGGGGTGTTCCTGCTCCCAAAAAACTACTCCTGTGGTTGGTTTGGGGTGTTCCTGCTCCCAAAAAACTACTCCTGTGGTTGGTTTGGGGTGTTCCTGCTCCCAAAAAACTACTCCTGTGGTTGGTTTGGGGTGTTCCTGCTCCCAAAAAACTACTCCTGTGGTTGGTTTGGGGTGTTCCTGCTCCCAAAAAACTACTCCTGTGGTTGGTTTGGGGTGTTCCTGCTCCCAAAAAACTACTCCTGTGGTTGGTTTGGGGTGTTCCTGCTCCCAAAAAACTACTCCTGTGGTTGGTTTGGGGTGTTCCTGCTCCCAAAAAACTACTCCTGTGGTTGGTTTGGGGTGTTCCTGCTCCCAAAAAACTACTCCTGTGGTTGGTTTGGGGTGTTCCTGCTCCCAAAAAACTACTCCTGTGGTTGGTTTGGGGTGTTCCTGCTCCCCAAAAAACTATCCCGTGGTTGGTTTGGGGTGTTGCTGCTCCCCAAAAAACAACCCTGTGGTTGGTTTGGGAGGGACCCACCACAACGTTCCTGCCCCCAAATCCTGTTTTTTTTGGGAGCCACCACCACAATGTTCCTGCCCCCAAATCCTGAGGTTTTTGGGAGCCACCACAACATTCCTGCTCCCAAATCCTGGTTGGTTTGGGAGCCACCACCACAATGTTCCTGGTCCCAAATCCTGGGTTTTTTTGGGAGCCCCCACAACGTTCCTGCTCCTAAATCCTGGTGTTTTTGGGACCCACCACAACATTTCTGCCCCCAAATCCTGGTTTTTTTGGGACCCACCACAACGTTCCTGCTCCCAAATCCTGAGGTTTTTGGGAGCCACCACAACGTTCCTGCCCCCAAATCCTGGGTTTTTTTGGGAGCCCCCACAACGTTCCTGCTCCCAAATCCTGAGGTTTTTGGGAGCCACCACAACGTTCCTGCCCCCAAATCCTGGGTTTTTTTGGGAGCCCCCACAACGTTCCTGCTCCCAAATCCTGAGGTTTTTGGGAGCCACCACAACGTTCCTGCCCCCAAATCCTGGGTTTTTTTGGGAGCCCCCACAACGTTCCTGCTCCCAAATCCTGAGGTTTTTGGGAGCCACCACAACGTTCCTGCCCCCAAATCCTGGGTTTTTTTGGGAGCCCCCACAACGTTCCTGCTCCCAAATCCAGCGCTCACCTGGCGCTGGAAGTTGAGCAGCCGCAGAGCCTTGAGCTCGATGGTGGCTTTGGTCCTCAGGTCTCCGGCCAAGGAGCCGGGGAGGTTTTCCAGCTCTTGGATACGGTGGGCGATGCGGGCCTGGAGCCTGGGGAGGAGGAGGAGGAGGAGGAGGAAGGACTTTGGGATGAGTTCGGCTCATTCCCGACCTGATTCCCATTGGGAGTGTTGGGAAGTCATTTCTGGAATCTTGGGATGGGTTTTGGGGAACTCCATGGGAATAAGGACAGAGCAGGGCTGGAGAATGGCCAGGGAAGGGTCAGGAGGAATCTCCAAGGAAAATGTTCTGGAAAGGGTAAAAATGGGATGGAGGAAGTTGGAGAAACCTTGGGAATCTCCAAGGAAAACGTTCTGGGAAGGGTAAAAATGGGATGGAGGAAGTTGGAGAAACCTTGGGAATCTCCAAGGAAAACGTTCTGGGAAGGGCAAAAATGGGATGGAGGAAGTTGGAGAAACCTTGGGAATCTCCAAGGAAAACGTTCTGGGAAGGGCAAAAATGGGATGGAGGAAGTTGGAGATGGAGAAACCTTGGGAATCTCCAAGGAAAACGTTCTGGGAAGGGTAAAAATGGGATGGAGGAAGTTGGAGATGGAGAAACTTGGGAATCTCCGAGGAAAACGTTCTGGGAAGGGCAAAAATGCGATGGAGGAAGTTGGAGATGGAGAAACCTTGGGAATCTCCAAGGAAAACGTTCTGGGAAGGGTAAAAATGGGATGGAGGAAGTTGGAGATGGAGAAACCTTGGGAATCTCTGAGGAAAACGTTCTGGGAAGGGTAAAAATGGGATGGAGGAAGTTGGAGATGGAGAAAACTTGGGAATCTCCAAGGAAAACGTTCTGGGAAGGGTAAAAATGGGATGGAGGAAGTTGGAGATGGAGAAACCTTGGGAATCTCCAAGGAAAACCTTGGAAACTCCTCCCTCTGAACGTGTGGATGCTGGGAAGAGGGAAAAGAGGAAAAAAGGGGGAAATCTGGAGCTGGGAGAAGCCAAGTCCAAGGAAATTTTTCTGTTGCTCTGTGGGAACAGCAGGGCAAGAGGAGAAGGAAAAAGAAGAAGAGGAAGGAGAGGAAGAGGAGTAGGAAGGAGAAGAAAAGGAAGAGAAAGAAGAAAAAAAGGATGGGAAGGAGAAGGATAAAGGGAAAAAGAAGAAGGGCAGGAATGAAGAAAAGGAGAGGAGGAGTAGGAAGGAGAAGAAAAGGAAGAGGAAGAAAAAAAAAGGATGGGAAGGAGAACAAAAAAGAGGAGACAAAAAAGACAAAAAAAGACGAAAAAGGATAGGAAGGAGAACAAAAAAGAGGAGACAAAAAAAGAAGAAAAAAGAGAAATGTGGGAAAGAAGAAAAGGAAAAAGCAAAGAGAAAAAAATGAGAGAAACAGAATAAAGAAAAGAAGGGGAAGAAAGGGAGAAATGATGAAGGGAGGAAGGAGAAGAAAAGGAAGAGGAAGAAAAAGAAAAAAAAAGGATAGGAAGGAGAACAAAAAAGAGGAGATGAAAAAAGAAAGAAAGAGAAGTGTGGGAAAGAAGAAAAGGAAAACACAAAGAGAAAAAAAGAACAAAGAAAAGAAGGGGAAGAGACGCAGAAGTGACCAAGAGGAGAAAGGAGAAGAAAAGGAAGAGGAAGAAAAAGAAAAAAAAGGATAGGAAGGAGAAGAAAAAAGAGGAGAACGAAAAAAGACAAAAATAGAAGAAAAAAGACAAGTGTGGGAAAGAGGAAAAGGAAAAAGCATAGAGGAAAAAAAAGAGAGAAGCAGAACAAAGAAAAGAAGGGGAAGAAAGGGAGAAATGATGAAGAGGAGGAAGGAGAAGAAAAGGAAGAGGAAGAAAAAGAAAAAAAAGGATAGGAAGGAGAAGAAAAAAGAAGGAAATGAAGAGTGGGAAGGAAGAAAAGGAGAGGAGGAGTAGGAAGGAGAAGAAAAGGAAGAGGAAGAAGAAAAAGGATAGGAAGGAGAAGAAAAAAGAGGAGACGAAAAAAGACAAAAAAAGAAAAAAAGGATAGGAAGGAGAAGAAAAAAGAGCAGATAAGTAGGAAGGAGAAGAAAAGGAAGAGGAAGAAGAAAAAGGATGGGAAGGAGAAGAAAAAAGAGGAGACAAAAAAGAAGAAAAAACAAGTGTGGGAAAGAAGAAAAGGAAAACACAAAGAGAAAAAAAAAAGAGAGAAACAAAACAAATAAAAGAAGGGGAAGAGAGGCAGAAATGATGAAGAGGAGGAAGGAGAAGAAAAGGAAGAGGAAGGAAAAGGATAGGAAGGAGAAGAAAAAAGACCAAAAAAAAGAAGAAAAAAGACAAGTGTGGGAAAGAAAAGGAAAAAGAGAAAAAAAAGAGAGAAAGAGAATAAAGAAAAGAAGGGGAAGAAAGAGAGAAATGATGAAGAGGAGGAAGGAGAAGAAAAGGAAGAGGAAGAAAAAGGATAGGAAGGAAAAGAAAAAAGAGGAGACAAAAAAGGAAGAAAAAAGACAAGTGTGGGAAAGAAGAAAAGGTTAAAGAGAAAAAAAAAAACACAAAGAGAAAAATGAACAAATAAAAGAAGGGGAAGAGAGGCAGAAGTGACGAGGAGGAGGAGGAGGAGGAGGAAGGCTCCAGAGGCCCCCAGGAATCCCCAGCCGCGGCCCTACCTGTACTCGCGCTCCTGCAGGATCTCCACGGGGTCGAGCCCGCGGGGTTTCTGGATGGGCGTGATCCGGTTCTGCTTGGGGTGCATCGGCAGCGCCGGCGGCGCCGGCTGCCCCGGCGAGGGCGGAGGGGGCCCGGGGGACGCCGGGGGCACGTATTTGACTCGGAATGAGCTGGTGGAGTAAGTGCAGAATTGAAGGGGAAATTAATTTATTTGGTCAGGAATTACACAAAAATTGGAGTATCAGGAATTACAAAAATGGGAGTGTTTGACTTGGAATGAGCTGGTGGGGTAAGTGCAGAATTGAAGGGGAAATTTGTCATAATTTCAACCAAAAATCCTATTAGTTACCTGGAAATCGACCCAAAATTCCACAAAAAAATTTAATTATCTGGTCAGGAATTCCACAAAAATTGGAGTATTTGACTTGGAATGAGCTTGTGGGGTAAGTGCAGAATTGAAGGGGAAATTCATCACAATTCTCCCCAAAACTCCTATTAAGGTTTTTTATTATATAATTTTATAATATAATTTTTTTTTCTTACATTACTTTATATTAATTATATTATTGTACATTACACTACCTGGAAATCGACCCTAAACCCCCAAAAAAATCTCATTATTCCACCAGAAATCAACCCCAAATTCCCCAAAACTCCGGAAAATGAAGCACAATTCCCTAAAAAAATATTCCAAATTCTCTAAAAAACTCCAAATATCTCGGAAATTTGGGATGAATTCCCAGGAATTCTGTAAAATCCAGGTCTTACCTTCAGGCCAGGGCTTGGGGGGGCCCCCGGGGGGCTGTCCCGGCATTCCGGGGGGAACTCCTGAGGGTCCAGGAGGGGGCATGTTGGGCCCTCCTATTCCTGGAAATTCCCAAAAATCAGGGAGAAAAGGGAAAAAAAAAAAAAGGAAATTCCATGAGGATGATGATTCCTGGAAGAAGAGTCTGGATGGATCTGAAATCCCAACCTCTGGAATGGCCGGGAAAGGGATGGGAGAAGAGCAGGGAAGCCAAACTGGGGGATACTGGGGCAAACTGGGATAGAACGGGACAAGCTCTCCATGGATATCCCGGGATAAGCTCTCCATGGATATCCCAGGATAAGCTCTCCATGGATATCCCAGGATAGGCTCTCCATGGATATCCCAGGATAAGCTCTCCATGGATATCCCAGGATAAGCTCTCCATGGATATCCCGGGATAAGCTCTCCATGGATATCCCAGGATAATGGAATGAGATGAGATGGAATGAGATGGAATGGGATGAGATGCCCACAGATCCCAGGATGGAATGGGACAAACTCCCCACAGATCCCAGGATGGAATGGGACAAACTCCCCACAGATCCCAGGACAGAACGGGACAAACTCCCCACAGATCCCAGGATGGAACAGGACAAACCCCTCATAGATCCCAGGATGGAATGGGACAAACTCCCCACAGATCCCAGGACAGAATGGAATGATTTCCCCACAGATCCCAGGATGGAACGGGACAAACTCCCCACAGATCCCAGGACAGAATGGAATGATTTCCCCACAGATCCCAGGATGGAACGGGACAAACTCCCCACAGATCCCAGGACAGAATGGAATGATTTCCCCACAGATCCCAGGATGGAACGGGACAAACCCCTCATAGATCCCAGGACAGAATGGGACAAACTCCCCACAGATCCCAGGACAGAATGGGACAAACTCCCCACAGATCCCAGGACAGAATGGGACAAACTCCCCACAGATCCGGATAAGCTCTCCATGGATATCCCAGGATAAGCTCTCCATGGATATCCCGGGATAAGCTCTCCATGGATATCCCAGGATAAGCTCTCCATGGATATCCCGGGATAAGCTCTCCATGGATATCCCAGGATAAGCTCTACATGAATATCCCAGGATAAGCTCTCCATGGATATCCCAGGATAATGGAATGAGATGAGATGGAATGAGATGGAATGGGATGAGATGCCCACAGATCCCAGGATGGAATGGGACAAACTCCCCACAGATCCCAGGACAGAACGGGACAAACTCCCCACAGATCCCAGGATGGAACAGGACAAACCCCTCATAGATCCCAGGACGGAACGGGACAAACTCCCCACAGATCCCAGGATGGAACGGGACAAACTGCTCATGGATCCCAGGATGGAATGGGACAAACTCCCCACAGATCCCAGGATGGAACGGGACAAGCTCCCCACAGATCCCAGGACAGAACACGGACGAGCTCCCCTCAGACTCCCCCAGAACACACCCCCACCTCACTGCAGCCATTCCCATCCCCTCCCTGCTCCCCCCAGCCCCTCCTCACCGTGAGGTCTGGAATACCCGGGCGGCGCCGGCCCCGCTCCGGGCGCTTGCCCCGGGCCCTGCGCGGCGCCGGCGGGCGGGGGGAGAGCAGGAATCTGCGGCTGCCTCCCCGGCAGCGGCCGCT